AGCTTGATTTTTACTAAAAATTTAAAGTCGACATCATTTTACGTTTTTTAAATATTTAATGTAATTTGTCCTGTTTTTTTTACAAATTTTGTACTGTTTCGCCTTGTTTTAAAGTCTGCATTATAAAAAAATATTAGAAATATATATAATATAACGTCAAACGCCAAACCATCTTTATTAATAAATATTTGTTTAAACCCCAGTAACACAACGTATTATCCCCCCTACAAAATGCAAGCCATGTTGCCAAATCTAGTAGAAAATTCTTGATATTCAACTAAATTTTGGAATTTATTTTTAAATTATTACATTTAATTTAGTTAAATTTGATATAACTAATGATTCAAATTTTTTTGGGATCAGTTGCAATAAAAGAGGGTAAATTGTTTCAGCTTTTTCGTAAACAAAATGAGAATAATGAAATAGGCATGACAACAGCGGATATTAATCCTCCTGTGTCTCTTAGAATATGTTTATTCACGACATCACAATATTTGTTTATAGTTACTGTTGAATTATATTCAACATGTTGCACTGTGCTCAGTATTGCATCAAATATACACCAAGCTTCCATTCTCAATTATTTTATTACTCCTGGAGACGTCTCTGTAAGCGGCACTGCCTTGGCCGCAGGGTTGCCAATCTGTGAGTAATTCCTCACATTTGTGAGTAATTTACTAGTCTGTGAGTAATGTTGTGAGTAAAGGGCAATTGTGAGTAATATGTGAGTAATCGGGAAGTCAGCGTGGGTATATTCATGGTAGTTAGGCAAAATCCTGATCGGATAATTTATTAAAACCGTGTTCTTTTTAAAATTTTAATATAAGCCTTATTTTACCCCCCCCCCCCCCCCCCCCCCCCCCAGCACTTTTAGCAGTCATTACAATTTTATAGTTTTAAAATTGCAACGTCCTCTATTGCTTGGTCAATGTAAAAGAGTAAAAGTAATTTTGATATTTTACAACACTACAGGTGTCGTGTCGATAGTGGATAGTCCCAATCGTCGATTAATATATTTTTTTTTGTTCATTTTAAAAGTATATATTTTTATTAGTAGATTTTTTTTAAGTATTAGAATTATTTAATGATTTATTATGATTTGGCCCGTTAATAAAGAAGCTACTCTGGTTCTCCAAACGTTTTGATCTGTTTTTTGTTCAGCTGATGACAAAGATGTTTTATATACAGGGTGGTTCATAACTATTTGGAACATAGGCTAAGGGCAGGTTATTTGTATTAAAATATGGGGATAGGGCCAAATATATACCTTAATAAAATATTGCTGTGGAATAAGATACAGGGCGTTAAATAATATTAATAATAGTAATAATAATAATAATAATAGACCATAATCTAACAGCAAATTATTTGACACAACAAAGCAAACTTTTCATAAATTAAATGTTTTGTGAGTTGTTCAATTGCGTTTTTCTCGAAAACGGGTGAAATTTTCTAATCAAAAATACTAAAAAGTTTCGTAAAAAAAGCTACCACTTAATTTCATCATCAGGAATCATGCACGTGGCGCCTCCTGTAACAAAATGTGAAATAATACATAAAATATTATTCCTTGTCGAAAAATATGCCTTTGTGCCAATTTTGATATCAATTCATAAATATACAGTGACATCAGAAAAAAACAAAAAAACAGTATTCAAATTTAACGCCCTGTGGGGTCTATTCTGTAACAATTGCTTTATATTTAACGGCCTTTAAAAAATATTGGCGACCTTTAAAAATATCTTTGTATTCGTTAATTTACTTCTGTCATTATTTAAACAGATTTCTTTAAGATAGTCCTCTAATGTATTTTAAAGATCCGTTTAAATAATGACAGAAGTAAAGAAGAAAATATTTTTAAAGGCCGTTAAATATAAAGGAATTGTTACAGAATAGACCCCTGTATCTTATTCCACAGCAATATTTTATTAAGGTATATTTGGTCCTATCGCCATATTTTTATCCAAATAACCTGCCTTAGCCTATGTCCCAATAGTTATGAATCAACCTGTATATTACTTGGTTATTAAAATAATGAATGAACAGAAAAAAGGTGCATCTGTTTTGACTCTTGTATGTTCTGAAAATTTCTCTTTTAATGTTTGGCAACATTGCACAGTAGTAAAATAAATTCAAACCAAAGTGCAAGAGTACGAAATATACGATTTATATATATAAAAACTAGTAATATTGATATTTTCAAGTTGTGAGTAATTGTGAGTAATCCGGAAAAGTTTTTGAGAGTAAATTGGTAAAGACCGGTTGGCAACCCTGCTTGGCCGATAAAAACGGTCACCCAACTAATAACTATGTCACATGCATCATTCACTTGTTATCCACTTCTCATTGGTTATCCATGCGCGGCAACCACCTTCATTGGTTAGCGACACATTGTAGTTGGTCAACGTCAAGCGCTTAACGACTGAGCTTCTTCTCTAAGGCAGAGATTCAGTACCTCTCAAACACAACACATCGTTTTGAGGTATTAAAGAAGGCGACGCTTCGTTCGCCATCATGTAATAATTTTTATGCCGTAAAAATGGCTTGAGTAGCAAACATGTCTTAGAGAAATACTGTAAAAAGTATGTAAACGCTGCCTCAGAAATATTGTCGTTTATCAATACGTCCGCTGGCGCAATCGACACATTTCTGAGAAAGTAGGCAGTTGTAAAATGGTTAAGTTTTAGTTGCAATGGAACGATTTACGGGACAACAACGTGCTTTTTGTATTCGTGCGTTTTATAAAAACAATGATTCTTATGTTCTTATGCGTCGTTTGTACAGAAATCATTATAACATAGCAAGAATGAATGATGCCCCAACTGCAGATTTAATAAAATACTGGTTAATAAAGTTTGAGAGTACTGGAAATGAAATTTTGCACTTGGGGTATCTTTCATTCGTGCTATGCTGAAATGATTTCTGTACAAACGACTTACAAGAATATAAGAATCATTGTTTTTATAAAACACACGAATACAAAAAGCACGGTGCAGCCGCGTAAATTGCTCCATTGCAACTAACACTGTCGAGCACTGTTTGCCAACTGCCTTCTTTCTCGGGAATGTGCCCATTGCACCAGCAAACGGATCAATAAACGAAAATATTTCTGAGACGACCCTATAGTTTTTAAGTGCACCATATAATAAACAATAAAATCATTCCAATAGTATTTAAAATAATAATAATAATAATTAGATGTTTTCATCTAAGTGATAATCCTCCCAGACCTATGAATCGCACAGGTATTTCCAACATTATTTTTTTAATACAGTTCATAATTTGCCAAGGTCCGAATGTCGGTTCTAGTTTGTTTATTGGAGCAGGAACAACGATAGAAGCCTGACTTTCGGTCATAACACGACAGTTACATTTCTGGTTTCAACCGAATATTCAACTATTTGTAAAAGAAAGCAATCCCAAGTTTCTTATTATTTAGAGTTGTAGCACTTTGTTGAAATTTTTCAGTTTAAGTTTTGTTTTATTGTAATAAAAACGTTAGGTATGTTTTACATATCTATACCTTCTCTGTTTTTAATAAATAAAATTTATGGTAAACATTTACTTTGTTTTGGCTTTTGTGTTCTACAGTTCATCAAATTTCTAGAGGCTTTCGACGGCTAGACAGAGAAAGCACTACTGACAGGCATCCCGACGGATTTACGCAATGAAAGTACACTCTGCGCATTAAGTATTTCACTATTTCATTCAGACGTAAATGTTAGATGTAAATTTCGCAAAAACATTTCTTTTATTTTCGTTTGTGTTTTTTGCTCATTACTGTTTAATAGAACCTAAGTATGGAGTTTAATAGCAAATTAAGAGGCCGCGTGATTAACAGTCAATCTCGCGAAATAATAGCCAATGTTATAGAGTTTATGAGAAGAGAAGGAAACTTTAATTCACCTTCAATACCATTTAAAAATGTAAATGATCGTGTTGCTGCAGCCACAGGAGTATCTAAAAACACTGTCGTCCGCATTTCTGGAGAGAAAAAAAGAATCGATAACCGTGAGATATCGGAATTTTCATCACCAAGAAAAACCATTAAAAAACCAAAAACAGTTAATGATATAGATGAAGCTGCACAAGAATCAAATTTTATTTTTTTATTATTAGATAGCTATTTTTGTTTCTGAGTTGTGTTCATTTACAGGCTCAATTTTTTTCCGTTTCTCCTTTTTGATTTTATATGGGGTTTCAAGTTGTTTTTGACTTATTTCGACGTAAATCACAACAACACACTTTTTTAATAAAGCAAACAAATGTTAAGAGGTATATGTACGTGTAAACTACAATTACAAAAAATTGATATGAAACCCATGAAACCACCAACAAAAATGTAAAGCTAGCTTCCGTACTAGAACATGGTGTCATTCGTCGAGATAATTTATCGTTTTGTTTAATAGATCAAGAAATGTAAATATTCCCCTGTTATTTTTTATAAAATTATAAGAGAAATAAATTTTTTTCTAAATAGTATAGTTTATTATTTTGTAGAAAAACAAAATTTCGAAAATTTTAGTAATGTTTCAGAAACAACCGTTATTAATAATAGGTACCATTTTCCTTAATAAGGTAGAAATAAAATATAAACTATTTCCACGATTTACAAAGGCCTACAAAAAAATTATAGGTATTTTCCGCTATCCTATAAAATTTATATTTTCTGACTCAATTTCAAAAGGTTGAAGGAATTCCAAAACACCTTTTATTGCATAATAATTATTTTCAATTCTACATACTATCTTTAGCTGCTTTTAAAAACGTTCTAAGAAAGTCCAATCAGACCAATTTAATCCCTAAACTATTCCACACTTTTAAAATTTAATTACCTAAAAATATTAAAAACTATTTAAAATAACTTGTTTAGCAGACTGTGCAATAGCTATCTTAGTCACACGTAGCGCGTTCTCTGTCTGGGCGTCGAACACCTCTAGAAATTTGATGAACTGTACGTAAAATTTTTCTAGATCTAGATTTAGCATAAGGATATTTACCTGCGAAATGGATTCGATATCGTTGAGCAATTCTTCCAAATTCCCACCATTGGAAAACGTACTTTGACTGGGCGTATTACTGAAAACCATCGTCTTGTCGCTAAAGTTTTGATTATCGATTTTAACTATTAAATCTGTAGCCGATTTCTCCAATCCCTTTACCTCGATTTCAGGATTCGAAGCGGTTTTCGGTACCAATACCATATTTTGATAAAAATTATTAGCGTTGGTTTTTACTAGTTTTTGGCTGATAAAATTTTCGTTGCGCATCGCATTGGGATCAAGCATGTTCCCCGTGGAACTCCTGAACTGCTGGTTGTTATAGAAATCCTCGGGAAATATTATTTCGTTAGGATTTTCTATCGGTTGTTGACCGTCGAAGCTTTTAGAGGTTTTAATCGGACCGAAGAAGTTTACTGGAACGTTATCGGCCATCGGTAAAGTAGGGGATTTGGCTAGGGTGATAAATTCTGGATAACTTTGGTCCGGTTTAAGAATATCATCGCAGATACTCCAATTATCCTTGTTTAGGGATACTCTATTGGAATTTAGTTCTGAGTTATCGGCACTGGTTTCTTCTGTCACGACTGATAGGTGATCGAATTGGTCTTGGAGGTTTTTCAAATTGGTTCTTTGTACGTTCTTCATGTTTTGAGTGGTTTCTACTTCTTCTCCGTCTTCGCTATAAGAGCTGTAGCTTTCCTACAAAAAACTTCGTTAAATAAAAATCTATCAAGTAGAGGTAGACCATTAAATTTATTCTTGTACTAATATACGTTACCGAATCACTAGAAGTAGATCCGGTCGTCGATGATGAAGAAAAGTCGAGTTTTTTGTCTTTGATTAATTTCTCTAGTTTGTCGTATTCGTCTCGTAGATACCAAAGGCCTTTCTTTAACATTTCGTTCTCTTTCTTGAGTTTCTTTATATCGGACACTCCTGAAATTAAATTATAAATAAAATAAATTAGTGTGAAATATACATTTTTAAACAAGAGATTAGTTTAAGTTTTGTTTTTGTTTTAAATTTAAAAATGTAATGAAAATTATGAAGATGCAACTAGAACATTCTAGAACTCCCTTTATAAAATTAGTGATAGGACAGACCACCGTTGGTGAATTCAGTTAACGGAAAATACACAGAAAAAATTAAATTCTATATTCAAGAATAGCTTTGCATTTGAAAGATTGCACGTCTTTAAAATAAAACACACTTTGTTCAAAAATAATAGTTTTTGATACACTTATAAAATAAATGTTGATAATCTTGTATTTTAAGATTTTAAATATTTAATCTTAAATGTTTTCATTCAAAACTAGAATTATTAACTTTTTTTTATTTTTAAATTATTGATAAAGATAATGAATGATAAATATTGGTGAAATAGCTGTAGAATCAGACGATTGATGAATGGATGGATAGATGTTTGTTGCTGAATCACGCCAGAATGACTGAACGGGTTTGGATGACATTTGGTACTAAGATAGATTATAGTCTAAAATAGCACATATGCTACTTTTATCCAAAACTATTTATAAAATACGTATTTTTTTAAATTCATATAATTTATATTTGAAAGTTGAAGTAATTTGCGCATTAGTACCCAAATTTGGCAATAAGAAACACTTATGTCTCTCTGTCTATCCGTCTGTCACAGTCGTTTTACAATTGAAATTTGAAGTAATAAGTGGCTCAGATTAGGCGTTAACTAAAAACGAAAATACTTTGTCTTGTAAGTCAGTTGGGGAGGGGGGAAGAGGTTAAATTGGAAGTTAGAATTTTTCTAATGCAATCCTGCGATGTCAAATGAAAGCATTTTGTAGTATGTTTTCAAAATGCAAAAAGATAGAAACATAAAACAAAAACGATGTGAAATTAGAGAAACATTTTGATATTTTTGTTATAATGAGATGCACTTCACTTGAGACGTAAAATAGAGGGCGTTACCATCTTTAAATTTTCTAATGGAAAGTAAAGTCATGTAATACCTCATTTGAAAGATATTTTGATTATATTTACGTCGAAGCAAACAGTTTTAATTTTTTTTTGTTTTTACAAAAATTACATTCTTGATAATCCTCGTGTGCCGCAATAATCCTAGAAATGTTAGATAATGTTAGAAGATAATTTTTTAATAAGCTTTTTTCCAAGAAATTATGAAAAATTTAATACGTCAAGTGGTTTTTAAATCACCTTTGATATTCTTATTTTATTTATTTTAGTAAATACAAGAAGCGTTTCCTTAGTAATAAACAATAATTGTTAATACGAGAGTTATCAAGAATGTAACTTATTAGTAAAGGCCCAGAACATGTCTGTATAAGAACAAAGTATCAGCTGCAAAAATTGTCATTTGTGCAGTGTTAAATTCCTCTAACAGTAAAAAATTATCTAAATTTATAAAAGATACTGACATTTACTCTGTACTAGCCAAAATGTTAATCACCCATTGTGTACTATTGTAAAAACAGCATTTATAAGGTATTATACCTCCGCTAATGATCCTTTGAGGTTGAAACGGTAAATAAAAAAAAGAATTTAACCTACTTTATGAATTTATTTAATGTAGTTTCTGGAAAAACATAAAAACCTAAATCTGTTTACATGAACGTAAAAATATAGAAAATATCTTTCAAATGAGGTATCACATGACCCTACTTTCTAGTAGAAAATTTAAAGCTAGTAACTCCCTCTTACGTGTCTCAAGTAAAGTGCATCTCGTTATAACAAAAATATAATATCTCTTGAGTTTTACCTCGTTTTTGTTTTGTCATTATCCTTTTTCATTTGGAAGTTAAAATAGAGGAGGGTACAATTTTAGTCCTCACTGTATATAATACATCCGTTTGTATTACCTTTCCTTTGACAGTTTTTCAAAACGCCTAAAAATGTTCAACTTATCTTCAAAAGTAATCTCAGAACAGCAGAATGGATTAAATATAAGAAATGATTGTATAAATTTTAAATAAATGAAATAAAATAATTTGTCTTTTTTCTTGAACCACCCTGTACAAAACGAAATAATTCTTATATGGTCGTATGGTAAATGCAAAAACCTTTCCAACGAGGGGTCACTCGGCCCCCCTTGCTATTGAAGGTTTTTGAGGTGGGGGCTGGTGGGGCCATGGGGTTGATCCGACAAAATCAGTTGTGATCTAAAAATGTGTCCCCCTAAGGATAAAAATTGACCTGTTTTTGGATTTTACCTGAATCAAGACGAGAACGAAGTTATCGAGGGTGGATCCTTTTCAAAAAATCACCCTCTATATACGGGGGTTTCAAAAAGGTATGACATAAATTCTTCCTCAAATAGATTACCAAAAAATAAGTGGTTTTGGCTATATTTACCTATATCAAAAACTGGCTCCCAACAAAGTTACAGGGCGTTAAACTAACATTCAGAAAAACGTATTATTTTTTTTTTGTAAAAGTTTGTTGTTACGATTTTTTCTTTGAAATTTTTGTCAGTACTGTAGATTTGAAGGCGCAATATTCTAAAGAAAAAAAAATATAGTGACTCCTTTAAAAAAAGTTCGGGGGTTGAGTACCTTTTAATCCCTCCGTATTTTTTTTTGTCATAAAGAAAATTGCTTTATCGATCTTAAAATCAAAAAGAACTATGAATTTTTAATTTTTTTTTATAGCAAAATGAACTTTGTATCTTTCTTAGTTAACGAGCTATTTACAATTTTTTAACTGAATTTCTAGAGCAATTCGTCCGTCCTGGACTTAACATATCAACAAAACTAAAAGTAGATCAGGAGTTATTGTACAAAAAACGCATATAAAAATCATTGGTGTGCCTAGGGATGTGCTTGAGCCGCCCCTGCAAAAAATACCTCTTTTATTTATATTTTTGTAAAAAAATTTATAATATTGGATTGGCGCCATAAAAATGGTGTGCCACCCGTCCTCATGGGTTCAACATGCCACTGATAAAAATACACGTTCGTTTGGAAATGTATTAATTAAATTTAATAGTAATTAAAAAAATTATTTTTTTATTTAAAAAATTAATGATTAAAAATAAACACTTGACAATAATTATTATACATATTTTATAAACTATTTAATTTAGTAAATATTTAACATGTCCTCTTGCTTCTTGAATACAAAAATATAAATAAAAGAGGTAGTTTTTGCAGAGGCGGTTCAAGCAAAGCCCTAGGCACAACACTGATTTTTCTATGCGTGTTTTGTACAATAACTCCTGATCTACTCTTAGTTTTGTTGATATTAAGTCCAGGACGGACGAATTGCTCTAGAAATTCAGTTAAAAAATTGTAAATAGCTCGATTTAAAACTATTTCAAACTATTAAAAATATGAATGACTGCCACTCTCTACAACGTAACATAAATCTATTAAATGATTGTGTGCTAACAGATCGTCTCTTAATGCTAATAAGCCAATATAATGTCTTTTTCTAAAAAGAGTCAGTCGTGCAATTTAATTAAAACCTTCAGGATATTACGCTATCAAGGCATGAGTTAATAAAAGATCCCGGTGTCAACTACTTTCCCAAATTAATAATCGGTGCTCATTGTATGAAATCTCAGCTATTGTTCGAGCTAAATTTGAATATGGAAGTATTATTTGAAGCCCAACTTATAATAATCATATAATCTAACTAGAAAGAGTTTAACTCAGATGTTTTAAATCTGCACTTTCATTTTTAACCGACCTCAAAAAAGGAGGTGGTTCTCAATTCGTCGTAATATATTTTTTTTTTATGTATGTTCAGCGATAATTCTTTAACACGGTGTCTGATTTCAATTATTCTTTTTTTTTTGTTAATAAGGGGGTACCTCAGGGGTGGTCCCGTATAAATTTGGTCAAAATCTAATAATTGGGTCCATGAGAAAAATCCTCAAACTCTTCATTGTTTATGTACGTTTAGCGATAATTCTTTACCAACTTGTCCAATTTCTATGATTCTTTTTTTGTTAGTAAGGAGGTACGTCAGGGGTGGTCCCCATGGGCGTCGTTTAGGGGGACAAGGGGTGTCAGTTGCCCCCCCCCTGGCTTTTACGACTTTACAACACGTAATGGCTGTATGTCACAATACTAAATTAAATATTAAAATTTAGCCCTAAATTAAGTAATTAATTTAGTCCTAAATTTAGAACTAAAAATATTTTTTCCTTTTGCAACGATATCAATTTTTAGTATAGGCGCACATGCATTGACGTATTATTATAATAATAATAATAATAATAATAATAATAATAATAATAATAATAAACTTTATTTGCAACTTCCAGTTTTTTATACATATAAAAATATTCAGAAAAAAAGTGCCAAAGAAGGCTGCAAAAAGGACTGGTGAACAGTGGATACTGATCAAAGCACCAGCCCTGAGTATTACCAACGCCACAGGACATCGTACAAAAAACAATATAAATATAAACACAAATGATAGTGAGAAAAAAAAGTATAAACATTCTAAAAAGTAGCTATCACTCTGCTGTGTCAAGAAGAAACTTTTTGTAAAATTTTTTAAATTTACTTACAGACATTTCTTTAAAATGTTGTGGGATAACCTTGTACATTGCATAAATATTATAAGTGAAAGACCGTCTGAAAATAGCAGTATTATGTATTGGAGGTGAGATACGACCACAAAAACGTAGATTGAGGTTATGAACATCAGAACGATACATTATTTTATTAAAAAGATATGGAGGGGATTTATGTAAAATAACAGAATGAAACAAATTAGCCGAGTGTAAGTTTCGTCTGGATTGCATATCTAGCCAGTTTGAATCCTTGAGTTTATGAGAGACTCTATCAAATTTCCGTATTCCATAAGAAAATCTTAAACAAGATTTCTGTACTCTCTGAATTCTAATTATGTCTGCCTTATCTAAACAGGCCCCATAAACTGAATCACAAAAGTTAAAATTACTCAGAACCAGGGAATCTGTTAATAACAATTTT